TTCTGATGAAGGGTCGAGGCCCGAAACGTCAGCCTTCCTGCTCCTATGATGCTGCTTGGCCTGCTGTGTTCATCCAGCTCTACACCTTGTTGTCTCACTTTTAGGTGTGCCTGGTGCTGATCCTGGCATGCCCTTCAGTAGTATTCATTGAGTAAGGGTTGCTTTCCTGCTTTTATGGTAATGGCCAAGTGGGTGACGTGCCACATTTTTATTCTCATCTATTTGCTGTCTTCTCTATTACCAAAAATAAAGGTATGTAAATATTTGGATATTTACAAGATATTCCCTGACTCAACTATATTCAAGCTACCAATAATACTGTGCAGAAAGAAACCAATTATGTCTGCAACAACCCTTCAAAGAATATCCCACTCAGACCCACCACCCCATCTCCATAATACCAAATTTACCATGGGCAATCCACCTAGACTGCACACTACAGGCAATTTACCATGGCCTATCTGGCTAACCCACACATCTTTAGATTGTGGGAGGAAACCAGAGCACTGAGCAGAAACCCATGCAGACACAGGGAGAATATGCAAACTCCGCACAGTCACCAAAGACTGGAATCAAACCCAGGTCCCTAGTGCTATGAGGCAGCAGTGCTAAACACTGAGCTACCATGCCACCCCATAACATTTGATCAAATAAAATAGGCTCACAATTTTGGATAACAAGGTGTAGAGCCGGATGAACACAGCAGGCCAAGCAGCATCAGAGGAGCAGGAAGGCTGACGTTTCGGGCCTAGACCCTTCTTCAGAAAATCACAATTTTGGAGTTTGCTTATTGTGAATTAAAATACAGCTTGCATCAATAAAGTGGGAATGGAGTCAGAAAGCCACTGTAGCACTTAAGACTGTCACAAGTGTACAATTTTCTGCAAAGGTTGGTTTAATTTCAAATAGAACATCTCAGTTGAATGAGTTCTGGTGATTTATTGCATGCATGGACCCATGTGCTAAGCCCAGTAATGAATGAAACAAAATTCCTTTACTGAAAAGGTTATAGATGTCATATTCTTTTGTTTTCATCTAATTACTTTAATCTTAAATGTAAGAGATAACTTGTAGATGCAAAATACAAGGATGAGAACAACTGTCTGAATTTACACTCGATCGCTTTGAATTCAGGATGAGTGTTAACATGACATTGTTTGTTCCTTATTTTTTACAAAACAGTTGTAAAATTTTCACACAAGGAGGTACTTCAAGAAGTCGTAACACAGAACACTTTTACAAAGCACTTTTATAAATATATGTAAGGCTGCAGCAATCATTTTAAATTCAGCATCGTAGCAATTCAGTCATATTATAGAAACAGAAGAAAGGTTTCACTTGTTATAAATTAGTCTGTTGTTGGTTTTGAATGTTGTTAATAGTATGTACCAAAGACAAACTGGATAATAAAGGACTGATTACATGTTTGAATGAAAAGGTTCAAATAGAAAACTATCTACTCAGAGTGGACTACTGTGCTCAATACCTCTTGACCATATTATAACCAAACATTTTTTATAATAATGTCACATTTATTTGCAGCATGTTAGTATCTGGGGAAGGGAGTACTTTCTATTTCAGAAACCCAGTATTAGCATCAAGCTGACTTAGTTCAGGGATAGGATCATTCAGTCTAGGATCAGGTTGCTTTCACTCTGGCAATTGTACTGTGTAAAGCAATCCCATCCTGCAAAGGCGAGATTTTCAAAAAGAAATCCTTATACTGTCTACAATGCAGCCTCTCTGATAAGATTGCCAGTCTACTACCAAGAGGCACAGGGCAGCTTTGTGTTGTGCAAACTGTGTTGAGACAGCCAAAAAGCAGTATTGTTTTATTCAGACTGGATGGTGGTCAATTCTCTGTGCTCTAAGAGCTGGCGAGTTGAGGTGTGAATGGAAAATATATCGAACAGATCCATGTTTGTCTGCAGCTATTTGGGTTGCAGTGCGGGTGCACTTAATAAACTTGGTGACCTAAACTTCCTTTGTTTTAACTGTTCCAAAGTCAAATTTGTAGGAAAATAGAATCTGTCTCACTTCCTGTCTCTTGTGCTAACTGTAGTCCAATTTGCTCTGTTGCATCCCTGTACAATTACAAGTGTGTGCAAAAATGTTACAATACCAGTGTAAGCACAGGAGGAAGAAATCAATTGACTCTTCATTGAGGGAATGAATGGAGTGGATCACTGAATAAAAAAAGATGATTTCTATCAAAGTTGCATTTATTAAGTCAATATTGAAGTTTCACTGACCAGAATCTTGAATGAATCTGATTTAGTTTGAATTATTTCATATATCACTTAACTGCCGAGGTGGACATTTGCACCATTTTTCCCAAGCCAGCTTTTAAAGTAATGCTATTGAAATAAATAGGATGTCTACTTTGGGCCACTTAAAGTAAAAGATTTCACTTTTTAATAGCTGTTTTTAAACACTTTCCAAATTCTATAGAATTTGCATAACTATTCTGCTAAACTCATCCACAGTTAACAGAAAACAACAAATTCTGCCCCATCTGATCATGGAAACCAGTTCTATGTCATGTACAGTACTTTGTGCTAACATTTGGCCATTTTGGCTGCAGAGTCCATTGCTAACTCATTGTCCAGTCAGTGAGTCCCAGCTGTTAGTTTTATTAATCTTTTGCTGTAATGGTGGTAATGAGAAGGGCCTGTACCACTGTCAGATGAAATACTCCTTCTTGCCTTCACTAATGGAGTCTTGGTAATTGGCATTGTTCTTCAGTGTGGTGTCGGTATTCTCAGCATATTCCACTCCCTTCGTTTCATTGGTACGATACGTGCCTTTGTGCCTGTACAACAGGCGTCCCATTACAGCAACGATACAGAGGATGACAAAGATCACAATCGCAATAACACCTGTGCATGAGAAAAAAGAACTGAGTTTGAACAGAGGAGTGAGGAGCAGATCCAACAGTAGCAGTATCATGTTATAATGAAAACCAGCAATCACTCAGGCAATGGGATAAATAATCCCCTGGAGTCTTTTTGCATCCTCCTCATTCCTATCAATGTTTGTACCTTCTGCAAACTTGAAAATATGACAAATAGGAGTTCTGATGAAGCATCACCCAACTTGAAATGTTAACTCTGCTTTCTGTTCTTAAATGCTCCTAGACCCACTGAGTTTCTCCAGAAATTTCTGCTTTTCTTTCAAATCTACAGCATCCGAAGTTCTTTGCTTTATTTCAAATATGATAAATGGGCCCACAGCCAAATCGTTGTACATAGATTGTGAACAGTTGTGGCCCAAACACTAATTGTTTTGGTATCCCATTGGTCACAGCCTGCCAGCCAGAGAATGGCCCATTTATTCTGAGTCTTCCCTTTCTGTCAGTCAACTAACCCTCCATCAATGTTACCTCCAATTCTATGTGCTTTACTAACCTGTTTACTTATCTGTCCTGGATTTTAGCAGAAACTTTCTGAAAACCTGAAAATATTATGTCCCTGAGTTCCCCGCTATCAAATCAGCTAGTAACATACTCAAAAAGCTCTATCAGAATTGTCAAACATGATTCACCCTTTATATATCCATGTTGACTCTGCCCAATCAAACAATTATGTTTCTAAGTATCCAGTTATCACATACTTTATATGGCTTCCAGCTAGTTATGTCAGGCTATCATGTCTGTAGTCACCATTTTCTCTCTCCTTCCTTTCTTAATCACTGGAGTTGCATTTGCAGCCTTCCAATCTTCATCTGCGGTATAGGATTAATAGAATTCTGAACAGTGCATTCTTGTAGCAAACTATTTCAACACTCCAGGTTGAAGGTCACCAAGTGAACTGAACCCTCCTCTGACAACTCATTGTATCCATCCATTGAGTATGTCAGACAAACTGGCCATCTTTCCAAATTACAGCCAGCGAGTTAGGCAATTCATAGAATCATGGAAACCCTACAGTGCAGAAAGAGGCCATTCAAGTCATTGAGTCCACACTGACCCTCTGAACAGCATCCCACCCTACCCAGCTGCCCATTGTATCCCTGTATTTACCAAAGCAATCCACCTAGCCTGCACATCCCTGGACACTATGGAACAATTTAGCTCGGTCAATCCACCTAACATACACATTTTTGGATTGTTGGGAGAGACTGGAGCACCTGGCAGAAACCCATGCAGACACATGCAAACTCCACACAGACAGTCATGCAAGCCTGGAATTGAACTTATGTTCCTGGCACTGTGAGGCATCAGTGCTAACTGCTCAGCCAATGCCCCCCCACCCCTTCCAATTGTCAGTCTGATGAAGTATATGATTAGTCAATCACCAATAACTTGTCCTTAGCTGGCCAATAGTTGCTAATCCCCAGCACCAGAAACCTACCAACTTATGATCTGTCACAAGATTAGGTCTGCACTCTTGTAGTTGAACAGTAACATGGTCTAATAAAGAGAACTACATAGAAGGGATGGTAAGAGAGGACACCTTCGGGTATCTTCCAAACTCAGGTTTCAGCTCCCCGTGATCTGATGGAACAATGACATAACTTCTTACAGAAATGCTCAGTGATGTTTCTGAGACAAAACATATGAATAATCTTGTAGAGATAGTAAGAACTGCCGATGCTGGAGTCTGAGATAACACAGTATGGAGCTGGAGGAACACAGCAGGCCAGGCAGCATCAGAGGAGCAGGAAAGCTGATGTTTCGGGTCGGGACCCTTCTTCAGAAATGGGGGAGGGGAAGGAGGCTCTGAAATAAATGGGGGGAGGGGCAGTGATAGCAGGTAGGTAGTGGTGGGAATTGGTCAGTGAGTTGGGAGGAGCAGATAGGTGGGAGAAAAGATGGACAGGTCAATGAGGTGGGGATGAGAGGGGGGCTGGTCTTGGGATCAGGTCGGGGGGTGGGGAAATTTTGAAGTCAGTAAACTCCACATTGAGACCATTGGGTTGGAGGATTCCAAGGTGGAATATGAGGTGCTGTTCCTCAAGTTTCCGGGTGGTGTTGTTGTGACACTGGAGGAGGCCCAGGATGGACATGTCATCCAGGGAGTGGGAGGGAGAGTTGAAGTGGTTCGCGACTGGAAGGTGCTGTCGTTTGTTGCAAACCAAGCGTAGGTGATCCACAAAGCGGTCTCCGAACCTCCACTTAGTCTCTCCGATGTAGAGGAGGCCACATCGGGAACAGCGGATACAATAGATCACATTAGCAGATGTGTAGGTGAAAATCTGTTTAATGTGGAAGGTTTTTTTGGGGCATGGAATGGGGGTGAGGGGCGAGGTGTAGGGGCAAGCGTAGCACCTCCTGTAGTGCACTCAATCAGCCATGAGCCACCAGCCAATACTTAGAGCTATCAAATTTCTGTGCAGCAACCTATTCTGGGTCCCAGTTTTGGTTTTTCTATCCTCATCCCTGTTTTTAAAATTTTCACATCCCTCCCCACAACTGTCTCCAGCACCATGACCATCCTGGAGATCTGTGCTTCTCCAATTCTGTCCTCTTGTGCATATGTGATTTCTATCACTCCATCTTTGGCATTCAGCCTTCAGCTGCCAAGATCTTAAGCACTGAATTTCTTTCACAAATCTTTTCATTGTGAAGACATGGGGAGAAACATCTTCACTGGTGAGCCTACGGAAATCTCTTCCAAAGAAGGTGGTTGAGGCCAAAAATTGAATGATTTCAAGACGGTGATAGAAATAGTTCTTTGGGTTAAAGGGACCAAAGAGTATGGGAAGAAAGCAGGGACAGGTTACTAAGTATGATGATCAGCCAGGATTGTACTGAAATGCTGAGGAGGCCTGCAGGGCCGAATGGTCTACATCTGTTTCTATGTTCTACGTTTCAACATAAAACTGATGCAAATTGTTCATCGAGGTCAGTGTCCATGTTTCCTGAGTCCACACATTGATTATTTCAATGATATTATTGGGCCCTACTTTTCTCCCTACTTTTCTCCCTGGTTATTTTCTTACTCATTATACATTTATAACAACTCTTTAGGTTTACCTTTAGTTTGGTTTACTGCTTTCTCATGAACTGTCTTTCCTAATTTTATTTTTAGGTCTCCTCCTGCACTTTTTATACTTCTCTACGAACTCTGCACTATCGAGTTAACCCTAACCCTAACTTTAACACCACTGTATTTCCTGTAAGCTTCTCTTCACTCCTCAGACTTCACTTATCTTCTTAATTTTGACCTTTTGCATCCCTTGACATCCAGTCTTGATCCTATCCTTTGTCTTTAAGCAACATACTTGCCCTATACCCTCACGATATCCTCTTTGAATGACTCCCACTGATCTGACAATTTTATCTACAAGTAGCTGCTCCCAGTCCAATCGGGACAAACTGCATGCCTGCAATGCACCCTGGAACATTATACCATGCTGATGTTGCTGTGGAAACCATGTAGCTGTTGTAATTGCGTAGTTTGTACCCCCTTAACACTTCGCCTCATCATGCATTTTTTTTTGCTTCTGAACTCCCAACCACATAAAAGCTTATTGCAACACCATCTACCAATTAATGTGCTGTTTATGTGCATACTGTGGCTGTAGGACCAGACAGAGAATCCATCCAGATACGCACATCAGTCAGTAATCAGAAACTGATGATATACTGATGATAGAAAGAGCAGGGAGTTCTGGTCCCTCAGCTTCAGGGGCAGTGGGTCCCAAAGGATAGCGATTAGCAACAAGGAAAAGCAACATTTGGGAGTCAGAGGGTTGGCAGAAACAGAAGAGCGATTAGGAGCAAGAGACAAATTATCAAATTGAAAAGAGAAAACGATCAAGTCATGCCAATAATAATTATCCAGTGCCCTCTTGAATGCCACCGTTGAATATGCCTCCACCTTATTTCCAGGCAGTGCATTCCACACCCCAACTACTCACTGAGTGAAAAGAAGTTTTTCCTCACTTTACCCTTGCTTCTTTTGCAGATCATTTTATGTAAATGCCCTCTTGTTCTTGTTCCCTTCATGAGCAGGAACATTTGCTCCCTTTCTACTCTATCCAGCCTGCTTGAGATATTGAAAATCTCTATTAGATCCCCTCTCAGATTTCTTCTCACCAAGGAAAATAGTCCCAATTTCTTCAATCTATCTTGATAACTGAAGTTTCTCATTTCTGGAACGGTTCCTGTAAACCTTTTCTGTACTCTCTCCAATGTATTCACATCCTTTCTATCATGTGATGTGCAGAATTGCACAAAATACTCCTCCTAAGGTCAAGCAATTGTCTTTTACAAGTTCAACGTCATCTCCTTGGTCTTGTACTCTATGCCCCAATTAATAAAACCGAGGGTACTTTCAACTTTATTTACTGCAACTCGACGTGTTCTGCTATTCTCAACATCTGTGCACATATACACCCATGTCGCTTCAGTCCTGCACCACCTTCAAATTGTTTCCCTTATTTTATCTTGGCTTTCAATATATTCTTCGTCCAAAGAGAGTCACCTCATACTTCTTGCATTGAAACTCATCTGCTATCTTTCTGTGCACTCCACCAACTCGTCAATGTCCTTCTAGAGTTCCATGCTGTCCTCTTCACAGTATACAATTCTTCCAAGTTTTAATGACATTGAAACAGGAGCAGGAATTGGCCATTAGGCCCTTCAAGCTTACTCTGTCAATATGATCATGGCATATCATCCAAATCAGTACTGTGTGCTTCTGTAAACTTTGAAATTGTCCCCTGTATACCAAGATCTAGATCATTAATATATATCAGAAAAGTAAAGTTCTCAATTCTGACCCCTGAGCTACTCCAATACAAAGTTCCTCTAGCCTGAAAAATATCCGTTGACCATTACTCTCTGATTTCTATCACTTAGCCGGTTTTATATTCACGTTGCTATGGACCCTTTTATTCCATGACGTATAATGTTCTTCACAAGTCTGTTGTGCAGCAGTCTTCAATGCAATACATATGATCTATGATCATATTGTCAAGCAAATGTTTGCAAAAGGCAACATCTTTCTCACTTTTGGTGTGGAAAAGAGGTGTCAGCTAGGTAGGATACATAGATATAATTGAATTGTAGTTTTCCTTGAATTTGTAGTGCCATGTTAATACTAATTCTTCATGGACAATATGGGAGTGAGGAATGACACTCAACCTGAGAGAACATATATTGCAGACCTCAGATTTCTACTTGTCTACATGAAAAGAGTAAAATAAAATGAATGAACACCAAGTTGAATAGTATGGTGGCTCAATGGTTTGCACTGCTGCCTCAGAGCACCAGGGACCCAGGTTTGATTCCAGCCTCGGGTGACTGTCTGTGTGGAGTTTGCACATTCTCCTCATGTCATTGTGGGTTACCCCAAGGTACTCTAGTTTCCTCCCACAGTGCAAAGATGTGCAGGTTGGTAGGAATAGCCATGCTAAATGCAGGGTTATGGGGATAAGTAGGGGGTGGGTCTGGGTAGGATGCTCTTCAGAGGGTTACTGTTGACTCGATGGGCTGAATGGCCTGCTTCCTCACTGTAGGGCTTCTATGAACTCCAAGTTGATTTTATCATTCATTTCTCAGAAGTCAAAACAATTGACCAAGACTCAATAATTTTCCTTTGAAACTTTAAACATCAAATCTTAAAATATTTCGTTTCAATTTAGTTGTCATTTTCTTTTTATTGTACAAGATTAAGTTGTCATATACCCTGCAATAACTATGCTTCTTAATGACCAACAGCTCAAATATTGATTGAAAATTAAGGTGGAATTATCATTGTGACAAGAGTTAAAGTGATCCAAGAAAAGAATGATATCCTATGTTTTGAGGGCAACATTATTTATCATAAAAAAAACTTTTCAGTGTTTCCCGCAATTAAATTTAAAAAAAGGAAATTCTGATTAGGTTATTCTGGTCATCTTTAAACAATTATGTAGATGTGCAAATGCAGGTCTGATTTAAAAATATTTGATTTATACTCGATTTCGAGAAGAAAAGGTGTAACATTGTCAATACAGTGAAACATGCTAAGGCAATTCGTAATAGTGGTTATCAAACAAAATTTTACATAAGAAACACAGAATCAGATATCAGGAGAGGTAACCAAAAGCTTAATCAAAAAGGTAAGTTTTATTTTTGTAATGGTGGAGCGATTAAATCAAAAATGACCAAGAGGCTTGAATTGGAGCAGCACAAAGATTTTATACAGTTTAAGCACTGGGGGAGGTTATAGACATAGAGAGGGACAAGATAATGGAGGGATTTTACAACAACAATATTAAATTTATAAGATGTAAATATTTTGGTCCAGTCGCCACTTCACACACTCACCTCCAATGATTGCTGAGTCACCTCTGACTGAATTTTTTAATGGTTGACCCATATCTATCGTCCCAGAATGATCTGTAGTTAAATTTTTAAAAAAAATCAAAGTCAGAATTATCAGAGGTTAATGCATTGTAATATCTTTCGTGACATTTTTGGCCATTCCACCTTTTTTTTATATTCGTTAGTGGGATGTGGGCATCCTAGGCCAGCAAATATTGCCCATCCTTAATTGCCAAGAAAGAGGTGGTGGTGAACTGCCTTCTTGAACCACTGAAGTGCTTGGTGTGTAAGGACACCCACAGTGATATTTGTGAGATCCCCAAGATTTACAGGTATCTGCAGACCTTGTCCCTGAGATGGTAGAGGTCGCGAATTGGAAGGTGCTTTCAGAGGAATCTTGCTGAGTTGCCTCAGTACATCTTGTAAATGGTACACTTTGCTGCCAAAACTGTGTTGTTGATGGTGAAGTGAGTAAATGTTGAAAGTGCTAGGCGCTAGGGTGCCAAGCAAGCAGGATAACTTTCTCTTGAATGGTGTTCAGCTCGTTGAGTGTTGATGAAGCTGCACCCATTCAGGCTAGAGGAGAATATTCCATTATACTCCTGACTTGTGCCTTGTAAATTGTGGATAGGCATTAGGGAAATAAGAGATGACTTACTCGCTGCAAAGTTCCTAATCTCTGATCCATTCTGGAAGTCAGAGTATTTAAATGGAAGATCCAGGTCAGTCTCTAATCAATAGTAACCAAATGTTGATAGTGGGGACATTCAGTCATGATTATGCTATTGAATCTCAATGATTGGGTTCTCTTTTGTTGGAGATGATCATTGCCTGGAGTTTGCGTTGTGCAAATGTTAATTGCCACTGAAAAACACAAGCCTAAATATTGCCTAGGTCTTACTGTACATGGATATGGATTCGTTCAGAAAATGATAATAGCCTTACTTATACAGTCCTCATCTGTTTATTTTTCATTTGTATTTGAAGTCCAGCTTACCTACACATGGATCCAGAAGAGGAAACTGAGGCACTAAATATGATCTAATTAACTGCCCGATCCTCATATTATTTCCCAGCAGTTAGTTTCATCAGGCACCTTTGAGAAGGTACAAGTCTCACCTTAAATTCCATTACAATCCTTAACATTTAGAAAGAAACTGAGCAACCTATATTCTGAAAGTTCATGGCATTTACGCAACAATCTGCAAGCATTTTTCAAATAAAGGAAAATAATGGAAGAGACAGAAGTTGTTCTGAACACTGGTATGCAGATTCTGGGCTTCCTTGGAAATTTTTGCAGCATTACAGGGTGAAATTTCCATTAGTTCCAAAATTTGGAATCCACTGATCCATTCAGTTGAAGGAAAGATGTCAATTAGTCAAAGTAAAATCCAAGTTGGATTATTTTTTGAGGAATAGGTGGATATGGGGTGGGGAAGTGGAATTAAAAATTGTGCTTTTTATTGATCCCTTCCAAATCTGGCAGCTGAGTCATGATCCATATCTTTCTTGGCAATAGACCACTCGTATGCACACCCTCAGATGAGGAAATTTTTGCAGTATTTTGCGACATTGCCTCACAAATTGACACTTTAACTATGACAGCTGTTAGCACCATTCTTCACCCAGATTATTATAATAATACAAATGTTTGCAAATCTCCAAAATCCTGTTGAATCAATGCCCATCAGGTGGATCTTGGTTTTTGTATAAGGATATTAATCAATGATTCTCAAAGGCTGTTTTTAGAAGCTGTGAACACCACTTACCATCTGTAATACTTGAAGTAGTTCACTAAACATTTAAAAGAGGAAATTACCATATTGTATTATGGCATACTGAGTAATTGCAAATATCAAGGACTTTACCCATTTACATATGCTATTAGTTTTCCATACAGTTTACTCTCTTAGTACAAAATACTGATGAAATATCACGCCGACAGGTGATTTTCCTTTTTGAGTGAAAATCAGAATGTGTTTCAAAGCTTGGCACATTTGTGCATGTCCAGGAAACTTTCAAATTGTATAGCAAATGTACCAATCAATTCAGACTTTCTAAATTCCCTGCAATAGATGCTTTGAACAATATGTATAAACTCCTTTATTTTTTCGGAATTATTTGTTTTTAGCTTCTTTAATAAATTCCAGCAGCCCATTTGCTGAAAATAAAAATTTTACACTGAGAATAAAAGCTAAATAAATAAATATATTTATTTATGTGATGTTCTGAGAAAGGGTCACTGGACCCGAAATGTTAACTCTTGAGTTTTTCTTCACAGATGCTGCCAGACCTGCTGAGCTTTTCCAGCAACTTTGTTTTTGTTCCTGATTTACAGTATCTGCAGTTCTTTTAGTTTATATTGTGCGTAAATAAATAATCCGATGTCCTTAAAACATTCAGGAGTGCAAACAATTGAAATTCAGATAATCAGCATTCTACTGTATATAGGCTCCAATCCACTTCAGGATGTAAAATGTTGAAAAGCATACATCTGGATATTTGTAGTGAGCAATAAAGCAATGGTGCACAACACTGGCTTCAAGGAAAGGCACTGTCAAAGTCAAAATACATGACTGGATGGGAATTTTGATGTTAATTTAAATCTAGCACCAAGTGAAATAGATCTTCCGGCCTTCAACCATAGTGAGGTCATAAAACAGAGCGAATAGCCAATTGTATTGAAGGATTTTCACAGACCACATACCAGCACTTTGAAAGCATTGATTATTTTTCTGTTTATAGTATAATTTTGCAGAAACAAAATAAAGATTGAGACATACATATGGGATGAAGATAGAAGATAAAATATCTTAAACAATGTAAGACTGTCATTTTGTTTTAAGTTTGCATTTCTTTACCATGATGGCAAAATTTCACATTCCATATGACCTCAAGACCATAGGTCATAGTGGCACAAGTAGGCCATTTGGCCCATTGAGTCTATTCAATGAGATCATGGCTGATCTGATAATCTTAAATATAAAACTGAATTTCAGGGCCAAAGAGATTTTGTTGAAATAATTAAGAATTTAGTTTGTTGTTAAAACTCAGTGGTACCTCCAACAACAGAATGTAATTTTCCAAGTGATTTTACAACCAGAAAAATTGTGTAAAAGGAGAAGTTCTCATCTGTTTAATGATTTTTAATTGCTCACAAAGTGAGTAACTCCAATAGTGCACCCTTTAGAGAAGCATAGAATCACTGAAAACAATTCCTATACTTTTACATTCGCCTGAGCATGTGTGGACTCTAGAGAAGCTATGATAGCCAATGCTGACAGTTTCACTATCGACTCTTTATGTTCCCATTAATATATTCAAATTCAAACAAATTACCCATTATATTCTAAATTCCATGAAGTACAACTACTTGTTAATTTCTCTCTGTAATTTTACCCTTGAATCCTTGAAAGGCTGTGCTCATGCTATTGTATCTTGCAGGAGACATTTGCCACATCAGGTAATTATGTACCAAGGCAGTGAAACTGGCCTGAATCTTCAGCTGGACCATCAGAGAACTCCTTTCTGTCATAATGTCCGAGTTCGGCTGTCCAATGATTACATGGTTATCATTCATATCTCCTCAAATAGTGAAGAACTCTATGCAGGACATACAGCAAGATCTGGGCAACATTCAATCTTGGGTTTATAAATATCTCATTAGATTTGCACCATCTAGGTGCTAGGCAGTGACCACCTCAAATTTCAGAGAATCTAATCCATCTCTCTTTGATGTTGAACACCATAATCATTGCTGGATGCCCACCATCAACATCATGAGGAGTTATTATTGATGAGGATCTTAACAGGGCAACCTTACAAATATTAGGGCTACAAAACTAGGTCAGAAACTCACTCCTAACTCCTGAAAGTCTGACTGCCATCTGCAAGGCACTAGTCAGGAACATTCTCCATTTGCCTGGATGGACACAGATCCAACAACACTCAACACGTTTGAAATCATCCAGCACAAGTCCGTCTAGTCAATTGATATGCCAATCACCACCTTAAAAATACATTACCTCCACCACCGAGGCACAGTGGCAGCAAGGTATGTGATATATAAGATGCACCTTAGCAACTCACTGAATCGCTTTTGACAGAATCTTCCAAATTTGTAATCACAAAATCATAGAATCCCAACAGTGCAGGAAGAGCCCTTTGGCTCATTGATGCTGCACCGACCCTTCAAAGACCATCCCACCCAGACCCCTAGCCTAACCCTGTAACCCTACGTTCCCCATGGCTAATTCATCTTGCCTACACATTCCTAGAAACTATGGACAATTTCACATGGCCAATCTTTCTAATCTGACTGTGGGAGGACACCGGAGCACTCGGCAGAAACCCACACAGACATGAGAAGAACATGCAAACTCCACACCAACAGTTATCCGAGGCTGGAATCAAACCCAGGGACTGGCACTGGAAGGTGGTAGTGCTAACCAGTGAGCCACAATAGCACCCTCCACCCGCAAGAAGGATAAGGGAACAGATACTTGGGAACACCTCAACTAAAGGTTGTTCTTCAAGTTATATTCCATCATGCATTGGAAATACATTCACAGTCCTACACTGTTGCTGTGTCTAAGCCCTGTAGCTCCCTCCTTAATATCGCTGTGGGACTACTTACACGAGGGACGGACTGCAACAGTCCAAGAAGGAGGGCTACCACCGCCACCTTCTTCAGAGCAGTTTGCGATGGTTATCAAATTCTAACACTGTTAGTAATGCCCATGTTGATACAAGTAAGTGAAAAATTGCATTGCTGCTATTTCTCTCAACTATTGTTTGTGGTAGTAAATTCCACAGTCTAACCATTCGCTGGACAAAGAAGATACTCCTTAATTCCCTGTAGGATTAGCCGAGATTATTTTATAGCTATGACTATTTATCTAATAGGAATATACAGTGGAAGAGATTGGAGTTAGCTCTAGATCTAGCTGTGCAAATTCTGGCATTCTTTGAAGGGAAAAACAGAGTTAAAGTTTCGGGTCCGGTGACTGAGGAAGGGTCACCGGACCCGAAACTTTAACTCTGTTTTATCCTTCACAGATGCTGCCAGACCTGCT